TTAGGGATGCTGTTGTGTCACACGGAAGTTGCTATGGTACTGTTGTAGTATTGTATGGTCTAATGTTTATTTGTCCCGAGTCTGCCAATATTATAAGAGTACAATGCTAAATCAGTTGAGTATCAATTTTCAGGTTTTAGTAAGGTAGTCAAGTTAATTTTATTTAGATAGTAGTTTTATTTTTAAGTAGTATCTGATAGGATGTTGAATGGTTGCGAGGATGTTAATAGGCATCTGTTGTGTGAGTGTTTTGTTGTTAAGTGGTTGCTAAGGCTTTGATGGTGGTTTCTATACAATTTCTATGATATTAGATGTATTTGCTGGGGTGTATTGTGTATTTGGTATGGGAATTTGTTGTGAGTGCTACTGAGCACCTAATGGTTAGAATACTGAATGTTTGATTAAATTTGGCCTTTCCTTTCCTGCACATGGTCTTTCCATTTCCCTTTGCTGCAGAGGTAGGGCTCAGGGGTCTGTGCGCCAGAGATACTCACAAGTCTTTGAGCTAGAGTCCAAGTCTCAAGTCACTCGTGGTTATAATGACTGCTGTATCACCTGTTGCGTTCGATCCAGGCTGCTTATAAAACTGCTTAGCAATAAGGAATTCTGTAACTGTAACCTCTTTTTTACTTACAGAGCACAACCATTTAATGTGCAATGCAATTAATGACAGCTTATTAGCTACTGTAAGTCAACACAATCCGCAGACTCTCAAACCCAGTGTAATGTTAACTAAATAAAACTGTAACATTACATGATCAACAGTAAACCTGTAACCGGTTTTTAAAGTATTTTATTGATAAGGATGATGAAAATTACAATCTGTATGATGTGCTTAGGCGTTGCTAGAACCTTTTTACTTGGGCACATGCCCCTGTATCCATGTGTTGTGCCCCAGTGAAATTGTCAAGACCCTTTGGCGTCATTTTTGAACGTGAAGGGCTAAATGGTCAAGTTAGCAAAAATTGGCAACATCTGCAATGTCCAGTCAAGTTAGTAATCATATATATGCAATTTCTAAATAAAACTACTGGTTAATGTGAAAAGGCACGTTGTTAACAATATGAAATGTTGCAAAAAAATTGTTGCTGAAATAGAGTATTTACAACGTTGATGAGAGGACTTAGAGGGAATATGTGCTGGCGTGCAACGCTGTTTATAAAATGTAGCACTGAAAAGAAATCCATGTCGTGCATGAACATGCGCTCATCCCTGTGTCGCATAGGCGTGTGCGCGTGCTCAAAATTAAAACTTGCGCATCCGGCTGAACGGTGTTACAGTCTGTAGCCGGACCCTATTGCATTCCAGCAGCAACATTAGTGGGACGAGTCCAAACACGGATATGATGGCACTCCTCACAGGCCCATCATTTTAAAACGAGACAATAATTATCTGTATCTCAGTGATGGTTTAGTTATAACGCTCGACTAATGCAAGATGGAAAGCAGTGGATTCACATTGACCATTAAAATGTTGATTAGCAGAGCAGACTGGGAAATATGGGTGTACATCTTTCAGTTAATAATAAACATCACATACTCAGTCATGTCATAGTATAAATAGTATTTTCCTTTTGAAAATCTATTAAAGGAAACCTGCGGAGCCAGTTTGAGTGGCCCTGAAGCAGCTGAAAACATTAATATCTAGCAAGTATTGTTATTTATAATTTACAGAGGCTATGCAGAAGTTTATCAGTAGAATTGATGCTGGATCATAAGCCAGTACAAGCACAGCTGATCTAAATCCAGTACTACCACAGAGCCAGTCCAGACGCCTTTAGCAGGTCACACAGACCCAGGTGAAATACAAGCTGCCTCAGCCAGTAAAAGCACAGCCAGAGGTCTACAGGCAGCATCAGACACAAGCAGCTCAGACCCAAAAGGAGGATTCTGTTAGTGTGCAGAGGTCCATTCAAATCAGCAGTGGTATTTTCTAGAAGAAGTTTCCATTCCAGCTTATTATAGAGACAGACTGTTGTAAAGGAGAGATGAGAGCACTGCAGTGTCAGGTGTGGCTGTGCAGCAATGGCAAATTCTTTACATGGCTCACAAGTCAGGTATGAGGGCCCCATGGCAGAATTTTTCTTAGGTTGTACCACAGGTGTGAGTGCTTATGCTCTGGTCAAAGCCCTTTCTGACATGACAGTGCCGATATTAATGGGCTAAATAAGGGAAGCTGGTGGGGGACATACTAATACACATTTC